GCAGAAACTGCCAAACTGCTTTGCAAAGTGGTTGTACCGTTTTACATGCCCACCAACACTGTATGTATGAGGATTCCAGTTTCTGTACATCTTCACCAATGCTGGTTATTTTTAGTTTGTTTTTTTTTTTAAATTGCTGTCCTAGTGGATGTGGTTTTGATTTGAATTTTCCTAATGACTAATAACATTGAGCATCTTTTCATGTGGTTATTGGCCACTTGTCTTTTTTGGAGAAATATCTCTTCAAGTCCTTTGCCCAGTTTTTAATTGAGTTATTTATCTTTTGTCATTGAGTTGTAAGAATTCTTTGTGTATTCTGGACTCAAGTCCTTTATCGGATTTATGATTTGCAAATATTTTCTCCCATTCTGTGGGTTTTCTTTTCACTTTTTGATGGTAGTTTATAGAACAAACATTTTTCATTTTGATGAAGTCCAATTTCTCTCTTTTTTTCTTTTATACTTGTGTTTTTGGTACTATAGCTAAGAAACCATTACCTAACCTAATATCATGAAGATTTACTCCTATATCTTCTTCTAAGAGTTTTATAGGTCTTACATTTAGGTTCATGATTCATTTTGAGTCAATTTTGTAAATGGTGTGAGGAAGGGGTCCAAGAACTGAAAGAGGATGAAGTATATTTATAGTTTGTTATATTAACCTTCCTATTTACCATTTGTGGTTCTCTCCATTCCTTCCTGTGGATTTACCATCTGGGGTTATTTCCTTACACTAATACAGCTTCGTTTCTGCCTGTATCCTTCGTGCTGTTATCGTTCAAATATATCACATTTTTATATGTTTTAGTTCTCAAATACATATGTATTTTTTGAAATTGCCTTTTAAATCGTAAAGAGGAGACTATGCAATTATACTATCTTTTTATAATTACTACATAAGTGCCTTTACTTATGCTATTAGTTTTCTTCATGTGGATTTGAGACTGATCAAATCAAAATGTACTTAAATGCACAATTTTATCTAAAAAGAAAAAAATAAAAAGCCAAGCCTAAGAAATCCAAATAAGTAAAGCATATGTCTTAATAAAGGAAGGAAGGAGTGGAGGGAGGAAAGAAGGAAAAGAGACGGTTATATACAGACTGTAACTTCTGAACTGGATGAAAACATCACAGTTGATAAAAAAAAAATCAGAATTTTGTGATTCCCCTCATTCCTTTGAAAATCCAAACATTACTTTTAGAACCGCACTGAAACTGGGAGAGAGGTGAGGGCTGCGAGGCCCCAGTAGTCCAGAAGCCCAGGGATCCCTAGGTTCAATTGGTCCTTCCCAACCCAGGACCGGGCCAAAGCCGAGGCCCTGAACAAGCAACTCCGGAAGCAACTGTCCGAGTTCCGAGCGCCACCGGTGATGCTGTACGTCAAGCAGAAGGCCATAAATGGGGACCTGGAGAAGACCATCAAGATGTGGGAAAGGAAAGTGGAGATCGCGGAGGTGAGTCGCAGAAAAAGCGCAAGACGGGCAGGCTCCCGTGCCCTTCACAATTTTGTTTAGGATTTTGGTTTTCGAGCTAAGGATACAGATATTTGGACATGTAACGTCCGTGCAGAATCTCAGCAGTTGCTCCAACTCTTTACCAAAATGAAAGATGACGTTTAAAAAAAAAATACCATTTCATTGTCAGGCACAGGGATTATTCAGGTTGTTAGGGAGAGATTGCGGGAAGAGGATGTTTTAGTTGCTGGTTTTCTTAACGGATTACGGAAGTTTCTTAATCTCTCCCCCCACCATTATGATTTAGTGATTGCTATTTTATACATGGAGAAGCCAGTTTTTTTAAAGAAAATCAGATAATAAAGGATTTTTAATATCACTCAGAACCCGATTCCAGGCATTTACACAGTTGTTGTGGGCCTCTTCATTTTTGACTAACCCCGCAGCCTCTTTACATGATACAGTGGGCACAGAGGCACGCGTGCCCCTTGTGAGCTGCGGAAGTGTGCAAACAGAGTGCCGGCATCAGGAAAGAGAAAAGCACCGAGGCTGCCCCGGGCCAGGTTGCATCCTGAGCGCACTTAAGACATCATTAGAGGCGTTTCAAAACCCAGTCAGGTCGCTTGGGAAGCATGGCGTTTTCACATCTAGACCCTGGCTCCATTTCCTGGGGTCACTTGGTGGCAGGAAGTAAATTAGGATCCAAACTTGGGCCTGTCAGATCTGGAGCTGAGAAGTAGCAGAGAATCACAGCAGGAACCTGCAACTTCTCACTTTTCTCAGCAGAAACAAGTTCTTTAGAAGAATCTTCCTGATGCCCCTAGGGTACCGCCCGCACAGGGTCATCCGCTCCATCACAGGGCTGGATGTGGGTTGTATTCTGAATAGTCACAATCGGTTTTTCCCAAATGACCTTCTCCCCTCTCCCCCTCTTTCCTTTTTTTTTTTTTTTGCAGATGTCCTTAAAAGGCTACCGCAAAGCTTGGAATAAAATGAAAACAACCAATGAGCAGTTGTTGGCTATTTGCCGCCCTGGGAAATAGCCAGAGGGAGTCCATGGCTGTAGAAAAAGCGATCCATTAAAATAATCAGCTTCTTTCTAGTCATGAGGTCCTCTCACTGTCCCCTGTGCTGGCTGGTGTCCAGCCAGGCTGATGGTCATCTGCCAGGCCACAGCTGCCCGTGGGGAGTGTTTTCACAGCCTGGCCCCTGGAACCGTTTACTCTGAAAGAACCACAGGGCACTCTAATGGTTTGACACTTGTTAGCCCACATTTAGTTCACAAGCACAAATGAAGGTGACCTTCCCGCGTGCGGAAGTGGGACAGAGGAGGGAAAGCCAGCCCAGTATGTGCCACGGGTCTGTCCGTGGCAGCCCAGGTGGGCAACTATCAAAAATAGACACCAAAACAGCATGGCGAGTGCCTGGCACCCAGCATTCTGAGCTTGCTCTTCCGTTTGGAGGGTTGGCCCCTACTGCATACCACTGCAAAAGAAAACGAGCAGAAAGGAAAACAAGATGATTTCTTGGGGCTGACGTACCCGGTTCTGACCTGAGAGCCCCGCCTCCCCACCGTAATAGTCATAGTACATAGGCTGGCCGGCCGTGTCGGCCGTGTCGGTTATGTCAGCCGTGTCAGCCGTGTCAGACGCGTTGGCCGCGTTGGCCGTGTCGGCCGCCCCAGCCGTGTCAGCCATGTCAGCCACGTCAGCTGTGTCAGCCGTGTCAGCCGTGCCGGCCGCGTTGGCCGTGTCAGCTGTGTCGGCCGTGTCAGGCACGTTGGCCGTGTCAGACGCGTTGGCCGTGTCACCCGTGTCGGCCGTACCAGCCGCGTTGGCCGTGTCAGACGCGTTGGCCGTGTCGGACGCGTTGGCCGTGTCGGACGCGTTGGCCGTGTCAGATGCGTTGGCCGCGTTGGCTGTGTCGGCCGTGTCGAGAGGCTTGCTTGTTGCCGCTGGAGTCGTTTCATTAAAGTCTAGATTATGTTTAGAGCTGTTGTCTGGCCCTGCATGTATTGTGGCCTCTCTTTGTCCTTGGAAGTATTTGGGGGACCATATAGCCCTGCCCAGCCCAGCATTTTTTGCGTGTGCTGCGGAGGCATTTGACGAGTTGCTTAAGAAAGGAATCGAATGCTCCCAGTGGTGGAGGACAGACATGGGCAGGCCGGTCCTCTTGGTCTTGGACGTGATCCAGGTGCTGTAGTCTTCCACCCTGATGTACAGAAATAGGCCAGGGCATTTCTCACCCCCTTTGGACAGGATTCCTCTCAGCACCCAAAGATTCAGGTGCTGTAGCTGGCACATCATTGGGTTTCCTGGATCCCCCTGTGACAAAGGACAGAAGGCTTCAATTCTAAAAACAAACAAACAGACAAAAAAAAAAAAACAAACCCAAACTTTTCTTTTAAAATATATTCTTGTGCAACTTACTATTTGTTCTAGAAATGTTTTACACTGGTTCTCGCTGAAAATGGGGTAAATGATAGGATACTATTTCCAAGCTTGGCGGCCACCACTACAAATTCCAACACGATGGCTTTTCCTTTTCTTACACAAATAATTCGTAGGCTTCTGCAGTTTGCCTGTAGCTTCCTGGATTTCATTTCATTTTCTTACCCCTTTCTAGTCCTTTCACTAAATTCTGCCCCTCTTTGGGCTTCTCGTTCCTCAAATGTTGACAGTTCTTTCCTTTCTGACCTGGAATGCTCACATTTTCCCTCTTGTTTCCATTCTCCGTTTAAGCTGCTCCCTCTCACCCACCAGGTCAAACTAGGGTCAAAGTGACACTTCCCGGGGAGCACACACTGGACTAGGATCACAGGTTTTCCACCTAGGCAGCTGCCTGTCAACACACCTGCTCCCCAGCCCGTGTCTATGCGCCCAGCATTCTCTGCTCCCGTGGGAGCAGTCCTCTGTGACTCTGGAATTCTGCCACACAAACCTTATCTCATTTCAGATGAGTGGGTGGAAGCTTGACACACTTAGCTAGATGTGTGACCTTAGCAAGTTACCTAATTCTCTTGAGCTAAAGTGGGGATATAGTTAATTCCAGGAAAACAGAGAACCTGGCCCTGTGCCTGTCACACTGTATGCACTCAATAAAGAAAGTAGCTACTATTATGTTGGTATCTAGAAAAGGCCATCATTTTTATGTGAAAAGCTGAGGAATATGGGAAAAGCAACAAGACAACTGCTAGGTATAATTTACCTTACCTGCCCTGCTCCAAGGCCGCCTCTTAAAGGAATACCCACTCTGTGGTCCATCTTGGTCTAAGAGGAGGATTGTCATCCAAGGGCTGTCCAGCCACCTGTGACCTGTGCAGCCTGCCTGGTCAGAAGAGCTGGGTGTGTACACATTGCTCTTGCTGTTTAGACTGAGGCATGGAGGGAGGGAGACTGCAGTTGACCCGAACAAACTCAACGATGAGAAGCAGAGAGGCAAAAGAGTGGCCGCCCTGGCCGCTGCCCATTCCCATCTTCTCTTACTAAGCCTCCCTTTTTTCTGAGGAAGCCACACGAGGACAGAAATGCAGGCGAATGGGAGAAGAAAGGGGTGAGCGCGAGCCAGGCAGCAGGCAGGTGTGCTCCGCAAAGCCGCCATAATCCCCTGCTGGTCCCATGCCAGCCACCTGAGGATGAGAGTCTGGACTTCAGCCTGTGCTTCTCATTAGGTGGGAGTGCTTTAGTCCAGAACTCTTGATTTTTCAGTTTTTCACAACCTACTGTTTTCACTCCAAGCTGCCACACAGCAGAGAGCAGAGATTTCATCCCAGAGTTTGGGCTGGTTATCACGGGACTGGTGAACAGGCTCCCCTCCATACCCCCACTGTGTCTGCCTGGGGCAGAGAAGCTCTCTGGCCAAAAATGGCATGGTCGCCCCAGCTTTCACCAGTCCCATTTCCAGCTTCTTTTAACTGTGGTTTTATAGTTGAAGGAAGAAAAAGAATGTAATTCAGGACAAATAGTTTGATGAATGGGAGTGTGGTAGACGTCCCCAGCTATTGCATGGTTGCACAAATTGCCATTTGCCCCGGTGTAGAATATGCTGCTTTTTCTCTTCCTCAGAACCTGTAGGGATGAGACTTCTGAAGCACAAGTAGCTGAGACAAAAAGTGCCAGGTTCTCCTCTAGAGCAGCCCTACCTCATCTCCCAAGGGAGTGACTTCAGCATGGAGGGGTTCTTTCATTGCGTGATTCTCAACCTTGACATTCAGAAAAAGCCCTAATAGTTGTTGGGGAAAGGGAGGTGAGTTCAGAGCGATTCTGCTTTTGTTGGGTTTCCAGGGACCCATTAGGCAGCTACGGAACCTGGGGACTCCATAGAAGCTGAATACAGCGACTCCACACTGCAGATGTGCTCAAAGCATATCCACATGTGTGTTTTGAACTCACTCTCAAACCTTTAGCTCGTGAGAAAATATCTGTGACTTAGCCATGCTACACTGAAAATGGTGACAGGTTCGTCCATTCGGCAGATTTTTTTATTGAGCACTTGCTATCTGCCAAGTGCTGTCTACCCTGGAGACAGCCATGAACCTCAAGTGACAGTCCCTGCCCTCAAGGAGTCCACCATCACTTGAAGTGACCACGCTTTCTCGGCATTGGGCTTCTACTCCGTCATGTTCTTACCAAGCAGACGGCATCAGTTTCCTCCTCTACATGATAGCCACATCCTGTTTTCTTGTAATTGTGTAAGGGACACAGGTCGATGTTTTTCACGGAGATTTTCCTCAGGATACTCATCGTCATGTGATGTCCTGTCTGGACCATGCAACAGAGAGCCCAAGAATTATTAACAAGAAGACATCCCCTAAGTCAACTCAATCACAACTCACATGTCCAGATGGGAGTGAATAGAAAATGTCCTAATAAACCCCTTTTCTGCATAGAAGTCAGAACCTGTGTCTTAAGATTTCACTGAAAACTACCTTTGCTTTGAACTTGTGTGTGCAAATTGGCAGAGAACATATTCGCCCTTTCTCCACATCTATAAAGAATACATTTCCTCGTTTATTTCCCAAGAACAAAAGAAATCAAGGATGGCTTAGACAACAGGACAGTTGGCTCTAGTCCCTGGCCCTTCTATAACCTTGCACTAATTTCAGGCTGTCTGCTGCCTATACTTCCAATTTGGGTGTAAGACCAGAAGAAAAAGGACCAAATGTAAGAATTGCCACGGGAAGGGCAAGCACTGGGAATCTTGACTGATTAGGTGGCTCAACTGGAACCTCGAGCCACCTGAATTGTTAAGATAGGCCCTAGAATGGTTCACCCAAGTCACCCCCACTGCTAGCACACACACAGCCTCCTCTAAGAGAAGGAAGGCATTAACTGCAGTCGTGGGATTCCATCCTGCCACCCAGCAGTTCCTCAAGGCTGACGACAAATGCAGCTTTCTGCCAAGGAAGCAGATGGACCCAACCAGATTGTTGAAATGCATCGCCGTGTCTGTCTTCAGGAGGGCTATGTTATTGGTCATCGTTACATTATCGAAGTCTTCATGGATGACGATCTTATTGATTGGATACTCTTCATGAGCAATCACTCTGCCATCCATCTTAGCTATACCAACTATAGCGACAGCGTCCTTCCTGGAGAGAAAGCAAGGGAATCTTGAGAAACCAAGGCACCGAGGAAGCTTCGCACTTCCTCGTTTTCATACTCACTATTTTTTCAGCCTGGAACATTCCTCCAGCTCATCTTCCTTGGGCAAAGGAAATCTTTTCTGAACCCCTAGGCTTGTTCTCCCCTTTGCAAGCCCATAGAATCTTGGAGATTCTTCTATCTTAACATCATTTGTCCCACCACCTAAAGATAATGTTATGGCCGATGATTCTATGCATAGCTTTTTTCTTTTTTTTACATAGTTGTAGTCATACCAAAGACGTAATCTTGACTCTTGATTTTAGCACTTAACATTTTAATAGAAGCATCCTTCCATATTATATACTCTGTAAATATACTTCAGAGAAATTCCGATTTTAATAATGATGGAGTTCAGTTGAGTGTTTTCCATTTATTCTCTTGGGAATCAGCCAAAGAACGACATAAACACCATGAAACCGAGACACGGAAGAATCCAAACCTCAGAATCAGAGAAAGGGCCGACAAAAGCAGTAGAGGACGGCAGATGTGTGGAGGATTTTAGATGATGCCTGCTGCCACGGAGAAGGGAAAGCTGCTCAAACGTGCTTTTCCACAACGAAGTAGAAAGAAAAGAAATAAACCATCATCAAAATGAAAGCCATTTGGAAGCAGCATAAAGACTAGAGACCACAGAAAACACGATAAGGGACACGGAAGGTAGAACTAAGAAAAGTGACCAAAATGAAATGGATATTAACAAAAATATTTAAAAGCTAGAGAAAAATGACCAATATGGCAGTTGATGGAGGGTTAACAGACCACAAAGAAGGTAAGCAAAGTAACAAAACAAAAAATATTCCAAGATATAATTTAAGAAAATTTTCTGGAAATAAGACTTCAATCTACAATTTGGAAGTGTGCTCCGTATGCTAGGGAAAAAAACAATACAGAATGATCAACACCGAGGCATATCTTTGTCAGCTCCCAGCAGGAAACAAACGCATACTCAAAGAAGGGCGGCTGAGGAAAGTGTAATGAAGGGAATCTTGACCAAGGCCTCGGCAGGGTGGAGGGAAGTCACAGGGAATAGTGCGGTCCAGCTTCCTGCTGCGGTGACAGCAGGGTGCTGGTGCCACTCCAGGCTCGAGCCCAGGAGAGGGAGGAGCCAGAGCTGTAGGAAGTGGGTCACTTGGCAGGAAAAGGCCGCCAGTCTGCAGTGTGTCTCAGGTAAATAAGGCCCTGACCTCACTCTCCCCCTTCCCTCCAATCTCTTGCCAGTGCTCTTCTTGGCCATGCCCACTGGTGTAACCCGCTCGGGTCAGCCTCCTGGGACCCAGAGGGTAGGAAAGGGTAGAAAGTGCATTTGGAGGGGCAAATGGGAGAGACCCGGCATATCTAGTAAAGTTCTTGGACTTCAGTGGCAAACAAGGAATCCTTTGGCATTCAGACAAAAAAAAAAAAGATCGTCACCTTAAGTTTGGCTGTCTATTGTCTAACGCAAGGAACGTGTAAGAGCAGAAGGGGATTCTAACAGCAAAGTACTAGAATAATAGGGGTGAACTGGACCTCTGTCAGGCATAGGAGGATGTATGGTTGGCCCGCAGAGGAAAGACAACCAGACTGGCTTCAGACTTCTCCACAGCAAATAATACTGGAAGCCAGCGGGTAATGCCTATTAAGTCCTCACAAGAAAGACGCTGTGACCCATGAATCCTATACTTAAGTGGTCATTCGACTTTAAGGACAACACAATATTTTTGAATATGCAGAAAAACAAGGAAACACGGTTCTTGGGAGCCCTTTGAGAAACTACTTGAAGACAAATTTAGCCAGTTCTAGTGCCGAATGGAGAAAATCCAGCAAAAGGGCTGTCAGTAAGTATAGGATTCATTATAATACTGGACTAAATTAAAATAATAAATTTTCAAAATTTAGATTGGGGTAAAAATGTTAACCCTAGCAATAATCAAGTGGTTTCACTAAAGCTGAAAAAAAAAAGAGGTAGCTGTATACACCAATTTCCCATCTTTTATAGGAATCTAAACATTTATTTACAGCTGATATATGAAGTAACAAGGATGTGCAAATATATATATGTATATATGTGTGTGTATATACATATATATATATACAGATATATATATATTAATCAAAGTAAATATGTATAATCTATTAAAATTGGGTGGTGAAGGGGAAAAGTGAAGAGAGGAATTCTGGCATTGGCCACAGTAGAGTATCTAGAGAGGACGATCCAGAAAGAAACAAGATTTAGGTTTTACTTCCATGAAATTATACCTCTAAGATAAACACTGGAGCGAAAATTCAAACTTTCCAAATCTGTCAGAAGAGACATACAAAAGAAAACAAAGGCCATATAATGAAAAGTAAGAAGCAATAAAAACAGAAAACATAACCTAAAATAAAAAACAAGAAGCGAGAGTTTCATTCTGAACATCAAGCAGAAGAGCATGAGGTAAAACAAAGAAAGGCTCTTAGTGATGAGAAAGAATTCAGTCTGCAGTGAAGACCTCACAGTTATAACCATCTGCAGCAAGTGGCACAATGTTTACAAAGTAAAAACTCCAAGAACTAGGAGGAGAAAGAGCCAGAAGCTTGTTCATGATAGAGTTTAATTCACTTCCGTCAGCCCAGGAAAGATGGAGACTCCCTCCTCCGATTTTGCATGTTAAATTGTACACCAAAGACAGAGAATGAATTTTTAAATGTACCTGTGGAAACTATTCACATGGGCAACTCAGAGTAGACACAAGGATAGCCTTGACAAACTCCTAAATCACCACACAGTACAACTCACATAAATGCCATGCAACAAAACAAAACACCCTACCACCTGGATATTTAAAAACTGTCTTTAATAAAACCCCGAGTCGAAGAGAAAATCAAAACCAACACAGCAGACTGAACAGAAAATAGCAATAATGAAATCACTACATGGAAAGCAGACCTCTCTGGGGGGACAGGTGGCAATCACTGCCAAGAGTTAGCCGGTAAAATATTGAAAACAATGCAAATTTCCAACATTAGAGGACTGTAATTATGGTACATCCGTCATGGGACACTGTGCAGCTGGTGGGAAGAATGTGGTCGCCCTCTATGGATCCAGGAGAAAAGATCTCCCAACGTGCACGATAGAGTGAAAGCAGCTAAGAGTGGAATACTGTGTGTCGTGTGCTGCCCGCTGTTTTGTTATAGACTGAGATGTGTCCCGCAAAATTCATAGGTGAAGCTCCAACCCCGCATGCATTTGCAGATAGGGCTTTTCAGGAGGTAATTAAGATTAAGCGAGGTCATCAGGCTAGGCCCCCGATCCGATAGGACCGGTGTCCTTATAAGAGGAGGGAGAGACACCAGGAGTATGCGCGCACAGAGGAAAGGTCATGTGAAGACACGGTGGGAAGGTGGCCATCCGCAAGCCAAGGAGTGAGGCCTCAGGAGAAACCAACGCTGCCAACACCTCGGTCTCGGTCCTCCAGCCTCCAGGAAGAGGTAAGAAGTACATTTCTGTCGTCTAAGCCCCGCTGTCTGTGGCATTTTGTTATGGCAGCCCTAGCAGATTAACAGAGGGAAGGGGAAGGAAAATTCTCCCTCTGTCAATAGATATAAGAGTTAATATAGATAGACCTCTAGGGAGATAGATATCCATGAATGCATCGAGTATTTAAGGAAAAATACTCTAGAAACTTGACAAAATATGGCTCAAAAGAAGGACCTAGTGATAGCAGGGCAGGGGTGGAGGAGAGGCTTTCCCTTGTATTATCCTTCGGTTCTTCGTGAGCGTTATACTATGTACATGTATTTTCATTTAGATATGTGTATTTTCAATTTAAAAATACATCTCGTACGTTAAAAACTTCAGCAGCTACACAATATTACATCGAGGGCTTATACTGTAATTTGTTTAACCAATCATAGTAATTATATTCTCTCTCCCATACTCTGTATGTATATATAATATACAGCATGTAAATTGTATCTATTTATACACTATATATTATATACACTGCTTTCATAGTATATATATTATATACCATATATATAAGTATATATATTATTTATATACTGTATATTATGTATACTATATAGTACATACAATAAATAGTATGTTATATGTACTATTTATATACTATATATTATGCGTTACATACAGTATGTACTGTAAATAAAAGGGTAATATACTGTATTTATCCATGATAATTGGACATTATGTTTCCAGTGTTTTGTTTATAATTAACTATCCCATGAACAACTGTGCATAACATTGTTCCAGTGATTGAAATTATTTCCTTAATGTTGATTCCCAAAAGTAACATCTTTGGGTCAAACAAAAAAACATTATTCCTCTAATAACATTTGTGGAGGTTTTTTTTTTCTTCTGAATTTAAAAAATGCATATTTACTGTAAAGAATTTAGAGAACACAGAGTTCAAAGAAAACAGCAACATGTGCTTCTGAGCATCCAGAGATAAGCGCTCTTCAAGCATCTGCTTATTCCCTTCCAGTCCTTTCTCTGTGTATAGGTATGTATGGCAGTCGCATTGTTAAGGCTCGAGAGAAGTTGAACGAGATAAGCAGTAGGGGCCTCTAGCATGGGGGTCAGTGCTGTTGTGATGCAGTAAATGGGAAGGAACATCCTCCCTGCAGGGGATGGAGGACCAACCATTTCACTTTGCAGCTGAAGACATCAGGCTGCTCTGGCTTTGGCATCTGGTGACTTTAGGACCCCCAAGAATCACGCAGAGCAAGCGCTGAGCTGGTAAAGAGCCCTGTGGCCCCATCACTAGGAACCCACCTTCCAGGCCTCTCCAAGCTAAGCAGGAAGTAGTGCCCCCCACCCCACCCCAGGGGGCTGTGCAGGCCCCAGAGGCAGGGGTACTGGCCTGTTCTGAAAGGCAGAGGCGATGCTGAGGATCCAGAACTGGCTGAGGATGCTGCCGAAAGTCAGGTGGGTGTAGTGAGAATCCTGCAGCGACACTATCCACGGGAACTCCTTTTCGCTGACCAAACCCTCCTCGGAAGTTTCTAGACTCTTGGTATTCTGGACACCACAACCTGCAGAGGGGGTGTGGGGGGAGGCGGAGGCCTCAGTGCTGTGGCCCAAGGCCACCACCACTGCACCAGACCTCAGGACACCCCTCCTGTTGCTCGCCACTCTGTCTGGCTCTCTATCTTAGTCGCCACTAACTCGGCCACCCCCGTCTTTTTTCCTAGTGGGTCACTTTCCTTATAAAATACTCTTGGTGGCACCTTTGAGTCTAAAAATAATGTTAGGCTCCCGATACACTCTCATCTATTGAATACTTAGCCATGCACACGAGGCAATGTCTGAAACCTTTGTATTCATCAGCGGTTCTCAGGGTGTAGGCTGGGACCTTGGGGTGTCTGCGAGACCCTCTGTGGGGTCTGCAAGGTTAAAACCATTTTCATAAGGATACTAAAATTATATTTGCTTTTTTCACTTTCATTCTCTGGCTAGTGTACAGGAGAATTTTCCAGAGGCTACACAGTGTCATCACTCTGATGGCTAATAGCACGTGTGAGCCTGTGTATTCTTGTGTTTTAAATTTCTTCAGTTTTAATTTCTAATATGGAAAATATGGAAATATAGCTCCATGAGCAAAAGCTCTTTTGGGTCCTTCATAATTTTAGAGAGTATAAGAGTCTCGAGACCCATATGAGAACGGCTGGTATACATTACTTCACACAATTCCTCCAACAGAACTAGAGGTGGACACCGTCTGTCCTGCAGATGAGAAAATCGAGCTTTAGAGCGGGTTAAGTACTTATCCGAGTTACACAGCTGGTAGGACCCAGGGCAGGTCCAGATGAATTCAAACTCCACACACTCTCAAGCCCTCACAGTCTGTTTCAGCCACGTTTCATCTCAAGTTTGCTCTTCCCTCCTCAAGCTGCTGGCATTTGTGGTTTCTCCTGCCATGTCTATTTTGCTTGCCAGTGTATCCCCAGGGTCCGGGTACAGTGCTTGGCACATAGTAGGTTCTCAAAAAAAATCATCTAGTGAATGAACAGAAGCGTGCTGCCAACCAAGGGCTCCCTGACATCCTGTCATCAAGGGCTCAAAGGTCCTGCTAGGTGGAGGCTGTTCTGTGGCCCCACCCAGGCCTGCTCCGCCTTTGCCTTCCTGAGCCCTCAAATGGGTCACCTCCCACTGGACAGACTCTTCAGCAGTCTGGACTTTGTTTCAAATGAGAGTTAAGTGTTGACTAAAGTTTTAAAAAATATCCTCCCTCTGCCAGCCCTGGTTTGGCCCAAGATGGCCCTGTATTTAAAAAAAAAAAAAAAAGTTCCCCCGTCACAGAGTCCCTCCAGTCTGTGTTCGAATAGTAGGACAGGGAGCGCCCTGGCAAGGCAAATCCCCAGGCTGGGTGAGCCGGGCCCCGCTGCCCCAGGCACCATTACAGGATGGTGTCCACCCGGGGGTCGTGCTCTGCCTAGGTACGGCCTGGGTACTCCCTCCACCGCCCGTGTCCTCCTCGCCAGTGGACGTGCTCTGCCCTGATGGGTCCCCGAGGTGCCCATTTTACCCCCGCCGACGCAGAGTGGAGGCAGGGATTCTCAACCTGCTGGCACATTTCATTTACCTGCTGCCCGGCCGCTCCCACACCCCCGGGGGTGGGGCCTGGGCACTGGCATTTTTTAAATGCTCCCGAGTAGATTCTAATGTGTATTCAGGGTTGAGAACCTCTAGTGTTTCAGGAAGGCCCTGACTCAGTGTCCCAAGTCCAGTTGGCCTCTATGCTGTGAGACCTAGGGCGAGCCACTTCACCTCTCTGGGCCTCAGTTTCCTCCTTTGAAACATGAGGTAACGCACCCCTTGGAGTTGTAAGGATCCCGTGAGGTGAGGTTACAGGATGGTGCTTTCCGAACTGTCTCCCCATGACTGATAATGCTAACCCCAGGGACAAAATAAACACTTCCATTTTTTTTTTCATGTAAACTACCATTCTGGTTGCTGTTTGTAAATCCCAAATTACGAGTACCCAGTGCCTCTCTTAATCCAGTGGCCCTAGGTCATGGGCGTCACACGATGGGTACCACCAGTGGACTGTGAGTCAGGTCGATGGCTGCTTTTTTCAGCCATTCAGCCCACTGCCAGGTGCCAAGCTAGGGTCTGGGTTTATAATAGGAAAGGATTTCGGGATCCTACCCCAGCCCCAGGGGAGTCACAGTGCATGGGGAGATGGACATGATGACAAGTGACAGCCATACAGAGAGACTCCTGACACACGAGACTCCTGGCCAGAGTGTACAGAGGGGAGGGCACGAATCTGCCCAGAGCACCAAGTCTGGGAGGACTTCCTTTGGGGAGCGACCTCTGAGGGGAGCGCCGAAGACAGTTTCCAAACCATGAAGCTAGAGTTGATTGTGACCTTCGGTGCTGTCATTAAAGGACCAGGACAGACCCCCCCACACCCCCCGACAATGTGGCACCATATGACAAACTTCTCCATGAACTGACACTTAGAGACTTTGCTGGAACAGTGACAGAGCTGGCTGTTAGCTGGCTGTCGATTCTGTAAGGGCTTCAGAATCACCGGAGAGGGAATTCTGTTTTCGCACGGGCCACTGGCAGTCTGTGGCGAGCAGGGTATTGACCACGCCTTCCCAGCCCGACAAGAACCTGTGGGCGTGTGGTACCTTTTACTGTTTCATAGCTCTAGTTGGCTAGTTCATTTGACCTTATAAAACCCTTGGGAGCCCAGGATATAATGAGGAAATCTGACCCAGAGATGAAATATTTGCTTTGGGTCACCTGCTTCAGGATTTTTAAGAGATGGGAGAGACCCTTTCTGTGTTTCGTGGGCATCCCTCGGCCTCCTTCGGGCTGCAAGGCGATGAGGTAGGTGAGGAAGGTAGCGAGTTCTCCCCCTGACATGTGCAGGAGGGGGGGGCTCTCTCGTGTCCCTGTCTAACTGCAGGAAGATGGGGCAGAGCCAGCTCAGGTGGCAGAGAGGTGGGGCAGAGCTGTCTGTCCCTTTCTAGGCCGGATCTTAGACCTGGACAACCTAGAGGTCAGGGAGGGGACCGCACCTGTCACTTCTGCCAACTGAGTCCTTGGCAGCCTCTAAGACCCCTTCCTGCTCCCCTGGTCCAGGCCTCTTCATGGGAACAACGATGCTGGAGTAGGAACACAGGAAGCACCTGCTCCCCACCACTTGGACACCCCCGCCTGCAGGTGCCCGGGGCTGTGAGGGGGGAGGCAGTCTTCACACTGGCCCTCTGTGCCCTGGGCCTCCCCGCAGCCTGAGGCTAATTTTCCTAACTGCGCCCCCTCCCGAGGATTAGCCCTGACACCGGGCTGCTGAAGCCACAGTTTCCTAGCTCCACGCCCCGTGTTCCAGCTCTTTGCCTGGTTCCCACCACCGGCGCACGCTGCCGAAGCGAAGCGCTGGGAGTCATCCTCCCCGAGTCCCCCCCGCCCCCCGGACATTAAGAGCAGTTAGTTCACTCTCCTGGGATGATCCCCCTGCCGAGTTACAGGATCCGCTAAGTCACGAGGAAGAAAGCAGCACACTCACTGGCAGAAGCATGTAAGATGTAGAGAAGCACCAAGAGCATCTCCGTCATCTCTGCCATCCCCAAGGACAGCCGCAGCAGACACCATGGGCAGCTGTGGAAACAGAACGGCCAGGCGCACGGGCTTTCCTTCTCCTCCCCAAGGACCGATTCCCCCTCAGCGTTCGAGGCCCAGCCTCTTTGCTTCTAAAACATGAGAAACAGACCTGTCACATCCCTATTGCTGGGTTCCGTGCAGTAGAGAGAGAGGCAGGGACCAGCTGCCCGGCACTGATATTCTGTGAGGATTCGTGAGATGGCCCAAGGAGAGGTGGCAGCCGGCACCTGTCAGCTCTCCCCTCAGTCCAGCCAGGGTCCCTGGGCTTCCCAGAGAGGTGGGGCTCAGAAAAGCGCTGTTTTTTGACTCGTGGAATTCAACCCTTGTCTTAACTCTGTAGCCATAAAATGCTGCGGGAAGAAAAAGCAGGGGTTTAGTGTGAGCCCACGCTGGTGTCGCCCCTCCTGCTAAACTCCGTTGGCTTAAATAATGCTGGAATTCTGTTAACGGGGGACAGCTCGTTTTACACAGTCGCAGCCCTGGCGTTTTGCGGTTACTTCGCCCAGTAACCCTATGAGGTGGACACGGTCATGATCCCCGTTTCAGAGATTCAGAAACCGACACTCGGAGACATGGAAAAGCCTGCTCAAGGTCACACAGCCACCCAGTGCTGGGGCCCGAATCCAAGCTCAGGTCTATCTCAACTCTGAGTCTTAACCGTCTGCCACACCTCCAGGCCTCACACAATGCATAAGAGCCTGAGGAGCCCATGCGCGTCGTTCTCAGTCACCATGTTCCACTCGTGACACCAGATGTTCCTGTCGTCAGGACGGTTCTCAGAATTCTCCTGTGAACTGCTCCTGCTAGAGGGGAAATGGACTCACTCTGACCTTACGGAGCCCAACAGAGGGATTCTTTCTACCACCCAGGGGAGAATGTTCCATTGTGGCATCATGGTTACTATGGTGTCACCAAGCAAACGTCCAGACACGGGGACTTAGGAGGAGCCAGGATGAAAAGGCTGCCTGTTTCCTAAATTTGGCAGGGCTATTCTGGAAGCCCGGCTGTCCCCTGGTCTGGTGGAGGAGACATCCCTTTTTCTGGATCACAAAGTCCTGTTCAGCTGTGGCCGTGGTCTGCCTACCTCCTCAGCACCCGCCCTGTGTCCACACAAGTTCATCACTCTGGACGAAGGAAGCCCACGACGAGGGTGGGTTTGGTTTTTCCAGTCCCCATCAGCATCCTTACACTCCCAGCGTGGTTTCCTGGAGACTCAGCCCTGTTGTCTTTAGCAGCTCCAAACCAAGCTACCCGGTGGGCTCTGTCAACTCAAGGGGCCCGATGGCGTCCGCACCCCAGCCACTGTGAGCAGCTTCGGTTTCAGCACAAATGCCAGGACTTGAGAAAAGTGTTGACAACATTGTGGTAAAGAAGAAACTAACTCCATGGAATCAGAGGGCTGCTGGCACAGGCGCTTAAGAAATATTTATTGGACCCATAGATGAATGGCTGATGGAAGGAAGGGTGGCTGGACAGAAAGTGAAGTCCAGTTCGGAAGAAGCGCTGTCTCCTTCCCCTTGAGGCTCAAGGTCACACAGCTCGATGCCCTGAGCACCTCACCATCCTCCTTCATCTTTGACACCAAGCAGGGCCTGGCTTCTGCCGGGAGAACAGAACAGGAAAGGTTGCCGGTAGCGGGAGAAATGGAGTTGACCCTTCAATATGTTCTGCATCTCCAGTCTCAAAGGGCTTTCACAGACGTTTTCTCGTTCACGATTCGCAGTCACCCTCCCAGGATGAAAGAATTACCCGAGCTTTCCAGATGGAAACATGGTGACTCAGAGCGGGAAAGTCAAGCCCCTTCCCTGAAGCCATACACCTACAAAGTGGCGGGGGCAGGACTCCAACCCAAACTCCTCCAACTCTGGGATGGTGACCATCTCTCCACGTCTGCATTTCTCAGCCTGGACCTCATGCAGCCTTTATAGGCAGCAGAAGCAGAAACAGTGATTGAGCCAAGGTCGTGCGGCTGCCTTTTTTTAGGAGTTGAGAAGCTGAGGTTATTGCACAAGACCCTGTTTGCAGATTCCTCTCTAGATTCCTGCATGAAAAGAAGCCATGTGCAGGCCACCAGAAACACACTGTCTCCTCACAGAAATAATCTAGCACAACCCACAAGAAAGACTCAATCCTGCCAGGACCCAGCTGACCTCGTGAGCCTTAAATTCTCAGCCTCTCTGGGCCACTTAACGCTGACCATCGACTTTAGGTAAATTTTTAAAAGATTCATCACAATTTTGAGTAATTTTTCATTCTTTAAGGTTAATCATAACAGTAATAACAGTTTCATACCTTTGAGGGGAAGTTCATTTGCAATCTTACACCAAAGACTCCACATCGAGGATTGTGATGGCATGAAATGCATGTAGTTTCTCGACCTGTCACTTCCTATTTTCACTCTCTACTTTCATTAAGTTAGAAAATCCTAACTCTCAAAGGACATCTGAAATCACAGCACGTTGTGGAAGCTCTGTCAGAGAATTCTGGGCATCAGACTGGACCCCAAAGTCACAGAGCGACTTTTTTCACCAGTGACTGCTCTCGGGTGCTCATGGCTGCCCACCAAACCCCAAACCTGGGGAACTGAAAATTTCTTCTGGGAACTTGAAAGTTTCATCCTGGGAGATAGTGATGGGTGCATTTCTAGTCCACTTGGTTGCTTTTCCCTCCGGAAAATATTTTTTCATGTTCCATTGCAGATTTGGAAAATGGTTTTTAAATATTATGCTAATAAGAGCTTTACTGCATTTCAAAATCTCTTCTCATGAAATTAACAGAACAAAAAATAATCAAGGACTTCTTTGTTTATGTACCACACATTTTCTAAGCATTGCTTCCTACTCATCACTGGTTTGTTGAAGAGTTAAGCAAAGTATCTGCTGGCCCAAACGTGGCGTAGTTATTGCTCAGCTGCATGATGTGGCTTCGATATTGATACCACATCCTACAGAGTCCTCTGGAATAGAAATTTTGCCAATACCTTATGCTGCCTTCTCTTCGTGTTTTTCATTAACATCAATTCTCATTGAAAGCCAGCATTTAATGCTGTGACATTTACTATAAGGAGCATAACTTTGAATCAGGTTTTTGTCATTTAGGTATCTTCTCTTAGCAAAAAAAAAAAAAAAAAAAAAAATCAAGAATTTATTGGAAAGCTTTATAATGCCTTCATCTTGAGAAAAAAAAAAATCTATAATTTATTTACCAAGGAGGTCCTTGTGGTTGTTTAAAAATGACAAAAATGCTTTAATGATTTCATGCTATTATTTGGCAATTTTATTTCCAGATACAGGCTTACCTCGTTTTATTGTGCTTCGCTTTATGGAGCGCTCCAGATGTTTGTTTTTTCCAAGCTGAAGGCAAGGCCCTTCACCAGCGAAAAGATTACGACTCATTTTGTTGTGCTACTCCCTTTACTGAGATGATCTGGAACCAAACCTGCAATATCTCTGAGATATGCCTGTATCTGTGCTGGATTTGCAGATTTTCTATGGAATAAATTGTGGGTTTAAAACAGAGTGTTATGTTCACCATATTCTTAATCCCTAAAGAGCGAGCTTGTGTGCATCCACTGCCCCCTAAAAGTCAAATTATCCAATCAACAATCTTTGATAGTAAAGATTGTACCATGTTAACTGTCTTTTAATGTAAATTTCTCCGATGAAAACTTTTAGGTTATTCTATGCAAAACGAACATTTAAAAAATGATTTCTTTATATCATCAAAATTACTGCACACAGCACAAGATCTAGAACATTACCGCTATCTCGTACCTACCTATGTGTCTCGCCCTCTCTCTCCCCTTCTCTTGCTCTTAGTTTAGTAATTTTATCCATAGTTAAGTGTGCCTAAACCATCTGCAGGAGCTTCTCCAGGGTGTACATACCCAGCAGTAGCATTGCTACGTCAGGCCATATATTAGGATATGTCTAACTCTAGAAGATGGTGCTAAATTGTTTTCCAAGGTACTTGTACCAATTGACACTCTTACCAGCAAAGTATTTGGGTTTCTGCTGACTCATGTCCTCCACAGCACTTGCTACTGTCAGCCTTAATTTTTGGTCAGTCCAATGAGTATAAAATGATACCTCATTGCTAATTTTCAGTTCCCTAATTACTAATAAGGCAGAGGATATTTCCCCACGTGTTTATTGCTTGTACAAGCTAATGCTTGCGTCTCTTGCCCTTGCTTTCTGTGGGGTGGCTTGGCCCTTTTCTTACTGATATGTAGGAATTCTTAATACATTTTGAATATTGTTTGCTCTGTGTATGGTGTCCTATGTTTTCAATTTCGATTTCTTCATGATGTTTTTAATAAACAGTGGTCTTAATTTTAGTTTTAAGGAAGTCAAATTTATTAATACTATACAGTTAGGGCTCTTGTTTAAGAAGCTCTCCCCTAGATCAACATAAGAGGTCTATGGTACTATGTCATCTTCCAAGTCTTTAAAGTTTTGTTCTTTGCACACACGCCCTCAAATCTGTCTGGGATTTTTTGTGATGGTACGGATTCCACCTCTTCCAACATGGATGCCCAGTTGTGCCAGTATCGGTTCTCCACAGGTCTCCAATGTGACCTCAGACATATCTCAAAGTTCCACATGTGCCCAGGACTCTTTCTGAGGTCTCCCTTCTGTTACGCTGTCATTTTGTCTATATCAACTGCCAGGCCTGTACAATCTTAAATATTATAGCTTTATACAAGTCTTAATATCTAGTAAGTCAAGTGTGCCCACCTAGTTCTTTTTCTTTAAGAATGTCTTGACTATTCTTGGCTCTTTGTCTGTTTTTTTTCTGTTTTAGAATCAACTTGGCAACTTACACACACACACACACAGCCCTGCTAAGATTTGGATTAGAATTGTATTTCATCAATAGATCTATTTGTGGATAAATTAACATCTTTATAATATTGAGTCATCTTATCTATGAGCCCAATGTATCTCTCACTTTAATTAGGTCTACTTTAAGGTTTTTCAATAAAATTTGATTTTCTGCATAAAAGTCTTATACATCTTTTGATAGAATTTACTCCTAGATATCTTATTCTTTTGGGTTGCAATTAAATGATGTCTTCCCTTATTATGCTTTTAGCCATTTCCTACCAAACCCTCTTATTATTTCTAATAATTTATCTTTAGATTCTTTTCCATGTCGAGTCACCTAGAATCAATAATGACAGTTTTGTTTCTTCGTTTACAATTATGTCTTTCATTTCTTTTTCTTGTCGTAACTCCCTGGCTAAGACTTCCAATACAAAGTCGAATAGCATCACTAATAGTGGGCATCTCTGTCTTGGTCAAAGGAAGTCTTCTCACATGTCTCCATTTGGAATAATGTATAATACAGATTGCTAAATAGATTTACTTAATTAGGTTAAGGAACTCCCCTTTTATTTCTAGGCTTTGTTTTAATCAAAATCTGGGATCGAATTTTGTCAAATAATTTTTTGGCATCAGATAAACTCATCTAATGGTTTTCCTTCTTTAATTTTTTAATGTGATTGATGAAACACAGACTTTCTCAAATTAAACCACTCTCGAATTTCAGGAATTACTATTTTATCTTTTTAATCACTATTATTTGCCAGTATTTGGTATAGGGTTTTTGGCATTTGTGTTTGTTAGATTAGCCTGTGAGTTTACTTTCCTATATCATCCTTATCCGTTTTACTGGCTATGTGGATCTAGTTGGGGAGATGGAAGTGGTCCATTCTCCAAAAGTTTGCAGAACTTGTTTGAAAACCATCTGGGCCTGGTGTTTACTTTGAGGGGATGTTTCTACAGCTGCCCAATTTTTTAAATGTTTCTTGAACTATACAATAGAAAGGCAGCTCTGCTAAGTTACGTTTTTTCTAGAAACTTTACATTTTGTTTGTTTTCAAATGTATTAGCATGAGGACTATAGTACTCACTATCTTTTAAAATCTCTATTGTAAAAGTTAACATCTTTTTTCTCATTCCTAATACTGTTTATTCTTCCCTTGTCAATTCATTATTAGTTTCTCCAGAGTTCCATCTCATCTGTACTTGCATAATAATCTTTATTGATCTTTGGTTGGTTGTTTGTATCTTTGTTTCTAGATTTTTTTATTACTAGTATTAAAAATCTTTGTTTTCTAGTTTATTATTCTCTGCCTTTTCTTTATTATCTGTTTTCTGCTAACATTCTTTGGGCTTATTTTGTGTTCTCCTAAATTTTTAAGTTGGACATTTAGCCAATTAATTTTTTGCCTTCTTTTAAAAACTAGGCATTTAAGTTCCATTTTCTTGGCATCTTTTTTTGGTACATTGTGCTTTCCTTATTATTCTAAGTATTTTTATATTTTCATTATAATTCTGTTTGGCTCTTGAACTATTTGGAAATATGTTTTTCAATGTCCATATGTATGACTAGTTTTATTTAACTTTTGATACCTACTTCTAACCCATTGGTTGAAGAACGTGATTTGTGTAATACCAATTCTTCAAAATCTCTGAGACTTGCTTTATGGCCTAGTATGTAATAAGAAAAAATTTTAATTATTCCATATTTGCTTGAGGAAAATGTATACTATCTATACCCATCAATTAGCCTTAGGTTTGTTGATCGTTCTGTTTAAATCTTCTGTATCTTTCCTAATTTTTTTTAGTCTGTTTGATCTATCAGCAATTAAGAAAGATGCCTCTAGTTATGATAGTGAATTTATCCGTTTCTTTCTATAGCTATAATAATTTTTGTTTTATATGTTTTGAGTCTCTTTTATTAGATACACAAATTTAGAATTGTCATATCTTCCTGGTGAATTGAACTACAGTCAGCTTTCATTATTTTCTGTATTTTTGTTCTATAAGGTTGTGGCAAACACTGAGTTAAAAAATAGTGAGCATTGCTCTTAGGGGAAATACAGAGTTAGGTTCTGTGAGCCTCCGATCACACCATTTTCATCAACTGATCAATACATAACCTTGTCTTCTGTGTGTTTATTTCTAGAGGCACCTCATTTAATATATAGTTGATTCATTAACATTGAACTCATGGCCAACAGCACTATAACTCATATTTGAAAGAAGCTTATCTAATACATGTATTTTCTCCTTAAGGCACATCGCAGCCCTCTTGTGCATAGAAGCACTAGACAACACTTCAGCACTATACTTGCGTGTGTGTCAGGGGAAGGCATTTTAAACAGCAAAATCACCAACAAGTGGCTTGCCTTCCCATGTGCCTTCATAATGATTGTTAGTTTGTTGTCTTGATAAGTATCCTATGGGTCTAAATTGGATACACTTTCTTTCAGAGTTTGCTTCTGCCTCTGGTCAGCAGAGGGCGCCACTAGCAGGGACTGTGGCTTGGCTTCTCACCCTCTCCACCAGTTAAGTAATCTAACAGCTGTGCTGCTGGGCACCTGACCTAAGGCAACCTCTCCTCTCCCAGCTGTTGACAGCTCAACCTCAGCTCACTCTTCTTAGAATCTTCTCCTAAAGTCTGTGAGGGCCAAAATAACTCGAAGGGTGTGTCCTCTGCACTGTTTTGCAATGAGAAGCCTTTTCAGACCACCTAGTCTGCAGTGATGCTCAAAGCTGAAAGAGTTTGAACTTTGCAACAGACCACACATTAAAAACTGGACTAATGAATTCCCGGGAAAGGAAAATGTAAGTTCCAGGTAGTCATTGTTGGACTTATTATTTCACTTTTGGATTTTTTTTCTTGCTGTGGGTTTGGTTTTATTCACAGATTATTGGCAGCTTACTCAAACTCATTGTACTCTCAGATTCACTTATCCCAGTATAAGTGAATCACACTTGATCCCCAGTCACTCTTTTTCTGATCCACTTCTGTTCTCATCAATATTTTTATACTATCCCCTCATTTTTGTGAATTGGAGCAATAACACCTTGCAGCCTGGTATTCCCACAGGCCCAGGGGTGGTGGACCTGTGACCCTAGCCAGGCCCATCAGATCCGCCCATTCTTGGAATCTGAGTCTTGAGCCAAAGGGCAGAAAGACCAAAACAGCTGGAGCCGCTGAGCCAGGCCAACAGCAGGCTCTGCGGGCTCAGCTGGCTCTGCTGCCACGCTGAAGGTCCCTCCCTACCCCATCTTCCCCGAGACCCAGTTCTGTGAACTAGCTCAGATCCCGCCAACAAACTGCTGTACTGCGTAAGAGTCAGAGGCAGTTTCTGTTGCTTCTGACCAAAGAAAACTTGACTGATCCACTGATCTACTGCTTGGAGTATATTTTAGGCCTAAGAATTTTGTCACATGTCCGATAAATGACTATTGCCTAATAAAATCTCTTCAACCAGAAGAACAGCAGCAGGCACTGAAAAGCAGGGATGTTAACCCTGCTTAAATCCATAACTGGATGACATACATTATACCACAGTTACACAACGGTATCACCTATATACATTCAAAACCAAACCTTCTTGAAATTTTAATCCTTTTTATTTTTGCAAATTCTTAATCATTTACCTTTTATAGCTATTGCTCATATTTCTTACTATTATTCTGTAAAATCTTAAGTTGCATTCTTCTCAGACGGACACACTTTATCTACATATTAAACCGAAAGGAACACTCTTTTCACGTCCGCCGATAAGTACACCCTCACATTTTTCATGAAACATTGTTCATTGACGGTCCATTTCCTGATTTTTGATAAAGACTGGGTACGAAAATTATTTCGTGTTTCTCTTAACACTGCAATGAGATAATAACAAAACAGGTGCGATGATAAAAGGCCACTGATACTTATCAGCATTGAAGGTCAGAGGAGTCGAGAGCGGTGGGGACAGGGGGGACCGGAGAGCAGGGTCCCCATTTAAAGGAAATCTCCATGGCCACACTCCATCAGCGACCTCCAGCTTACACACAGTCTGCGTGAGAAAGAAAATCTCACCACCTGGTAAGGACACGAAAGTCCAAGGTGGGCATGAGCTTGTGGAGGGCAGGAGGAAAGTAGGAGGTCTGGACTTAATCTTTAAATGTCGCACCTAGAGACCTCCCAGCCCGGGTTAGGGACTCTGATGCAGCATTAATCATAATTGCCAAGAGGCAAAAGCAACCCAAGCGTGCATCCACAGACGAATGGAATTTTTTTAATGTGGTATTATTCAGCTTTAGAAAGGAAGGAAATCCTGTCACGTGCTACAACACGGATGAGCCTCGAGGATATAATGTTGAGTAAAACAAGCCAATCACAAAAAGATCATTACCGTATGCCTCTACTTAAGATGAGGGGCCTGGAGGAGTCAAATTCTTAGAAGCAGAAAGTGGAATAGTGGTTGCCAGGGGCTGGGGGGGAAGCGGGGTGGGAGTTATTCTTCAATGGGGACAGGTTCAGTTTTGTAAGATGAAAAAGTGCTGGAGATACGTTTCATGACAATGTGAACATACTTAACACTACTGAACTGTAAACTTAGAAATGGTTAAAATGGTAAATTTTGTTAGTTTTTTTTTTTTTCCCCCAATGAAAAAGAAAGAATTTAACATCACAGGTATAGCAAAGTCCCCGAAGTGGCCACGGTGGGCAGTCTCTGCCCCTTCTCCTTCCCCTAGATCAACACTACCATGACACACTCATATCCATGAACAATATGCAGCATTTTCTGTGTTTTTAAAATAGTCTCACACCACGTAACATTCTGTTGCTTGCTTTTTCACGCATTATTTTAAGATCTAGTCCATTTATTTTCATTGTTTTCAAGCATTCTAGACTATGAATATGCCTCAATTTATTTCTTCATTCTCCTGCTGAGAGAAATTTGAATTGCGTCCAGTTTTTAAATATTAACAATCAATCCAGCAGAAAATATTTTTTATAGGTCTCCACATGCAAACAGGAATGGTTTTTTGTGTGTTTTGTAGAACTAACACATTACACTAAAGACACATCATCGCCTGAGTGTGCCGAGTGAATGTTATAATTAGTTTTCCTGGGAGGACACTTTCCTTGACATAAAATAAATCAACCTGTCATTATATTTCTCAATGTCAATGATCAAAGCCCCGGATTAAATGGAAAATGTGACCTAAACATGCTTTATCGCGGCATGACCTAGCAGCAAAGCCACACGTCCTGCCCCCACCTTCTCCTGCTCGCTGGCCATTGCCCACGTCCACCCAGGACCCTCTTCCTTTCTGGGGAGGCTTGGAGTTTCCATGGGTTCAAGGCACATGGCATCCAGCCACAGCCGGGCACTTTACAAAGAACAAAACTGACCTTTTTCAAAGATCTCCTTGCAAACTGCATTGGTGGCTTCGAGGTCTGCTTTTCCTAATAAAGATGGCCGCGCTCAAGGCCCCCTGTGCGTCTCAGGGACTCGAGTGGACGGGACTCCACACAACTCAACGCGTGGACTTCCAAAAGGCCTTGGCAGGCTGCTGTTGAAGGAGAAAAGCAAGCTCTAAAACAGGCCGTGGAGTGCAAGCTCTGCACATTATAAAAAAGCTAGATGGAGAAGTGTGGGCCGGGCCACACGCACAGCCCTGCAGCAGAGACAGGCTGTGTGCGCGCTGCGGGGGCACAGGTGTCTTCTGCTTCGCTGCAGTCTTTCTCTTGAGGAAGCCCATGTTGCTTTTACACAGGAAGGAACATTTACCACATGCAGGCAGGAGTCCTTCCAGCCCTTCTGCGGAGCTCGAAGAGCACAATAATTTAAAAAACCTTCTATTATAATTATTAACAAAAATTACTGTACTTCAAAAACTCCACCATATCTTTACCACTTATCAGCCAATAAGCACTTACTGAATAAGAGTTAGAATGATTCGTGTACCCACCACCATAATCAATTTTAGAACATTTTTATTACCATTAAAAGAAACCCATACTCGTTGGCAAGTCACTCCGTATTTCTCTCCAACACCCGCCTCCAGCCACAGGCAACCGCTAATTGACTTTCTGTCTCTATGGATTTATCTATTCTGGATAGTTCATGTAAATGGAATCATACAATATGTGGGAAAAGAAGGAATAAAGAATGACGGCGAGAAAGGACAAAGAGATTGAGAAGTACAAATGGATAGTTAAATAGACATGGAAATACAAAGTGTAGCATAAGGAAAATAGTTAATAATGTTGTAATAAAATATGTAAGGGGGAAGAAGAGTAATAGATTTAGTGGGGTGATCACTTTGTGAGTTATTTAAATTTCTAATCACTATGTTGTACAACTGAAATTAATATATTACTGTATGCCAACTATAATGGAAAAGAAACTCATCGAGTTGTACAATGTAAATATGAACAATTAATTATCTATTGTATTTCAATAAAGCCAAAAAAAAAAGAATGACTGCTTAAAATGTATTCAGAAATGATGAAAAATTTCTGGAACTGATGGCTCCAACTAAATAGAAGTAGATGGTTGCACAACGGTGTGACTCTACTGAATGCCACTGAACTGTACACTTTAAAATGGTTTACCCGTCAACAAGGTAAAGAGACAACCATCCAAATGGGAAAATATATTTGCAAGCAACACCTCCGATAAGGGCCTAATATCCAAAATATACAAAGAACTCATACGACTCAATAACAATAAACAAACAATCCAATTAAAAAATGGGTAGAGGACCTGAACAGACAATTCTCCCAAGAAGACATACAAATGGCCAACAGACATATACAAAGATGCTTAACTTCACTAGCTGTTAGGGATATGCAAATCAAAATCATAATTAGATACCACCTCACACCTGTTAGAATGTCTATCATCAACAGGACAAGTAATAACAAGTGTTAGAGAGGTTATGGGGGAAAAGAAAC